AGTGATTTTTTTGTCAAAAAAACACATTATGGGGCTCTGATATCGAAAATGTGGATAAATCTTGTTCGAAATTATGTAGTTAATTACTTCTATATTCTAATCAGAATTCACTTTTTGGTGTTCCTTGATACAAAAAATTACGACATTACTGGATTAAGGCGAAAAGTTTGTTTGTAGGTCCGTCCTTCTTTGCTCCTCGCTATCGCTCGAACTGTTCTGACAATTTTCTTCAAGATTGATGTTTCTCGATCAATATGGCTGAACATATGATATGCGAATTTAAAACAGTTATTACAATTTATGAGTATAGTGCTTTACATGAAGCCTTAATTTTTTCAATATTAAAAAAATGAATCTACAATTTACGATTATTTCCCCCCAGATTTAACAAATAACACTTACGGAAATTACGTAGGTATTATTTTCTTTAAAATCTCTGTGTTTGAAAATTGGAAATGTTCAAACATTTTCGGCGTCTTCCAGCAATATTGAAAAACAACTATAAATTCCAGAAAGTATTTTTTAATTAAATCTATGCTTCAAAGTTTGCTTTTAAGATAAGACTGCACAATTTTTTGAAAAATGGTTTTCGTGTGAAATAAAGGCAATTTTCACACCATAATTTTCTAAAAACCCCAATTTCCACGTTTTTTCTCTCATATGGCAAAATGGTCACGCTTGTAAGAATGTTACATTTGCCCTAAGTTCCCTCCTAAATTTTCTTCGTAATTTTTACTCGAAGTAAAATTAGTTTCAAAATATATTTTCCCAAAAATGGCTGCAAATGTTTTCAGTACATTTTTTCTAGAAAAGAGCAAAGAACGCTTATAAAAATAGCACTGGTGTAAATTTCGATTTAGGCTGAATTTTTGAAAATTTTGAAAGGAACAAATAACCCCAGAAATTATGTGCTTATGTAGCACCACTAGTTTTACACTGGTGCAATTTCTCAAAATGGCATGCTTGTTTAAGAAGTATTTATTAAACAATTCATGACTAGTTATTTAATAAATAATATGTGGTAAATAATATTTTATATTATGCACTAAATATAGGAATCAATTTTTTTATCTGTACTCTCTTCAGAATTGTAGTTTTCCAAATCTTTTAGGTTGACTGACGAAATGAAACATCAATTTACAACAGATACGTGACAAATAAACCTAATTTAAAATGGATTCGACTCTCGGAATATTTTCAAAATGGTATTATTAACATTTTATGTTTGCTTATGGAGATAGTAATTGGGGATGTCTTGTCGTGAATATGTAAATTGAAATATTACAGAAGTTATTTTTCATTGTTTCAGAATAAATGAATACACCATTTTAGAATGATCATAATCGGAATAAGTTAGGAGATCGACGTCTTTTCGACGCGCAGCACGTCTGATGTGTCAGGCAGAATAAGTGGAAGAATAGGACAAGGAATTTGTGGCAACCTTGCAATAACCATTGCAGGAGGAGATGATGATCATGTCGCGAAGTGTATTCCAGCTCCAAACCGATCGCCGCGCCGCCGCTTGGCCGTGACGGAGACAAGCAGGCAGGCGGGGCCGCCCGGCCGCCTCCACGGGCCGAAGCTCAATAACCGCTAGCTCAGACGACAATGCACGTCGGAAGCCGCGGGGAGGGTTGACGCAGTAGCTAAGCAAACGCCCTGAGCCGAGTCATTAGTGGCCCTGGCGGTGCGAGGGGAGGACCTCGGTTCTCCCCCGTGCTTCTGTTTCCATCTCCTTCGTCACCCCCTCCATCCGTTTGAAGCTTATTTATTTCATGTCAACCAATTTTTGTTTCCGAAATAATTATATGGACGTTAGTTTCGAGACATGAGCAGACTGAAAAACAACCTTCAAAATTACCATCTTTCCAGCAACCGTTTAGATATTCGTTCGATAACAATATTTTAGATTTTATTCTTTTACGAAAGAAGCACCCCAAACAGTAAATCACACTTAAATATTTCATATCAAAATTGAACGTAACTCAAAAACAATTATTTTCTTGCCTATAAATTCATTATTCATTTTGTATTCGGATTACTTTCAGGATTATACCTTTCAAACGAACTGTACTTTCTAGGACCTCACGAACATAGCAAATTAATTAATAAATACTTATTATTCACTATTTTCTCGAAATCCTCTAGGTAATGATTGTTTTGTTAAATCCCAAATGTATTTAAGTTCAATCCTTTTTCTTTTTATTAAATGCTGACGTCATTGGCAGTTTGGTAATGGTTTACAATTGAATTATTTCGAAGTTACTTTAATATATTTGTATTAATAGGTTTATTATCAATAAGAAAATCCATAGGAGCTTCTCAATATAAAGAAATTTGACTTTCTCTTCTAATCAATTCTCCCACACTATCTTGTTACGTCTATTGCTTGATATGTGTATTACTTGATATGTGTATTTTCCTTCGAATCAACATCGTCAAAAAAATGAATTCAAAAGTGGCATTTAGCAGCAAAAATGCTGCTATGAGCGTGTAGAAAATCGATCCGGGAAGCAACAAAAAATATACATAAGCTTCGAATAATAAAGCTTCGTTCTTCTTCGACCCATTACGTCATCTCTGCCAAATAAGTGAGGAGCTGAGTATGATAATGCAGTTGAAACATCAGATGTGAGAAATGGAAGATTCACGTAATGGAAATATTTGCATGTTTCAGTTCAAATAAAAAAAATCAATGTTTTTGATTTTTTCTGATTTAATTTCTTGAATATCTAACAACACCACTGACACGGCCAGAGGTTTCTTAGTTTTCCGTCAATGTATGCGCATTCTCGTAATTAGTAACGTAGGTAACTACTTCCAAATTACACACTACCTACAAGATTGTAGAAAAACGTGGGAAATTTTAACAAATCTCGAAGCTGACTTATAAGATGCCCCCTAAACTAAAAGTTAGTGCATATGTACTTTATATTGTTGGAGAACGTGAAACGTACGGGAGACGTATGACTGTCACTTCACTTGCCCTGAATACGCGAACCTAACTTTATTATTTCGGTAACAAGATCCACAAAAGTTGTTTAGTTGTTGAATAATCTACACGTTTGCCTGTAGTATAGCATTTTAACTTTTTCCCCACTGCTTACGCAGTATTAAGTACGTATTGTATTGCTGCGGGAAAAAACGGCGAATTTCCGACAGAAAAAAACTCATTGCCGGGCCCTGGACACAAAAAAGTGAATAAATCTTGTCCCTACACATGTATAGTAAATTCCTTTCTCAAACACATTGTGCAATCCGGATCCATGGATCCTTGATAGCGAAAATGAATTGACAACAAAAAGTCTGCCTGTCCGTCGCGCCATCCGTCCGTGTGTCCGTATGTGGTGAACGCTAGCTCCTAAATCGTTCAACCGATTTTCTCTGAAATTGATATTTCCCAATAAATCTGACTCATGCGGCGGTGGAGCTCGCCATCCAGCGAGGTGAAATCACAACAACCACCACCTCCCAAAAGAAACACTACGGGACCTTATACTACACTTACGGGACAAATGACCATAGCAGCTGACGCGCGTGGAATCACTATCAATCACAAAAGTACACCGCGTTCTGATGAGATACCTTCTGCAACGGAGTCTGAAAGTTACACAGAACACATTTATTGGTTCTAGGGCTCTTGAGAATAAAATGGTAACGACCTTTTATTAGTAATTCGTTATATTAATATAATGTAGTAAATAATAACAAGTTTATTACACGAGGGAATAAAAAAATGTTTCATACCTCCAGGATGAAAGTAGATGATTTCAAAGGAAACGATCAGGCTGATTTTGAAAACCATTATAAAATGTCTCTATCACGCAAAGTTCAATAGATCTGAACATATTTATTATTTGAAATAAAATTGTATACTAATTTCTGCGTTGTCACTCCGTTTGTATTGCTGCAAAATTTTATGAGCATGCTTCATATGTTGTAATAATAAGTGAAAAATGGAATACACATATTCGTGCAATAATGTGCAGTCAATAAAATGGTTTGTTGATATTTTTCACACTTGTACAATGAATGACAATGGTTTGGGTTTTCCCTACAACCACAACTTTAAGTGCGTTGTGCAGGTGACACAACACTGGTGAACACCTATTGTTTTTTCTGATCATAAACACTACAACCAAAATAAAGAATAAGCAAGTTTTGTAATTTCATATATTTTTTTCCTCTGAAGTTTGGATGTAATTTTTCCACAAACGTAACAGAAGTGATCGGGTTCCGCTCATTTTCGATGTGAAAATCATTTTATCATTCAACAGATCATGTGGCGAATTTCACTCTATAAAGCCCACAGAATTGTAATCTATTAATGTATTTGAAGTACACTCAAACCAAACACGAACTTAACGCGCACTGTGGGTACACGTCCGCATGATACCAACTGCCTCAGAATCTGCCACACGAACAGTTGAATACTTGCATACTTGCGATAAAGTAAGGGGTTAAAATATTTATTTTCGGTGACTGATGCACAGTAGGAAATATGAGGGTGCACGTGACTTGTTTCAAAAACATTCACTAAGACCTATTAAGATTGTAAGACCTACTCGTAAAAGAGCGTGTCCACCAGAAGCGAGAATAAAGATTGTAATCTTCGAACAAATAATTTTAAACAAACACAAAAGCCTAATTTTGTTGATATCCCGTGAACGTGGCGTAGATGAACTGAACAAATATTTTTAAATAGACTTTATGCGTATTGACTACATATCTTGAGAGTGCAATTTAAATGTATTTGCATTATTAGCAAAACACGATGCGATAAAAAATACGGTATACTTACAAACTGGGACGTGATACGACGTTTATATAGTGATATTCCTAATCTACGTACAAAATTGACTACGTTGCGACCGCTATCTTCCTGAAGGCTAAAATCTTGTCCCCTAGTGTTATATTTTACTCCTTCAGGAATGTAATGCATGTAATATTCGTGGGTGTTTATGTCTGGTTTCTTACCTCCTTTTATTTTCACCTTGTAGATGGCCTCTCGCAAGACTCGGCAGTCAAAACGAGATGCATCTCCCGCCCTGCGCTCTCGTGCTGCCACCGCCGCCGCCGCCCAAGCAGCAGCCCTCGCTGCTGACCCACACCCGCTCGCCGCTCCTCACGTCTCTTTGGCCGGCACGTATGGGCTGCACGAAATGAGAAAGGTATTGTGGACACATCATTTTAGTTTCTATTGAGTTCGTATAATTGAGTTCATTGTTTGTATGAATCCTGAGGTATTTTGGGTAAAAAGAAATACCTTAAAACAAAAGATTCTTTACGAAAAAAGAATAGTTTGTTTGTATAAGACGTGAATTAAAATTATTTTTTATTAAAGGGAAGCATTGCATTTTGTGTTTATATTTTTAACAAAGCTACTACTTTTTAATGGCTAAAATTAAGCACACTTGAAATCTTACGACTGCCTGTAATATATTTATGGTAAGTTAGTTCAAGGATACTCTTGGCAGCATTAATACATCTCTGATGTGGAATCTTCGATTTCGACAAACTGGGAAATTATGGTACTTTGAACATGAGAAATTTTAATTGGCCGCTCGTAAATGACCTTTCTCATTTAAAACGTTTCTGCATAACATGATTAAGAAAGATATTTAATACGACCTTCATTGAATTTGGCTGTAGAATATGTTGTAATTCACTAGTAAGAAGAAAATTAATCCATGTAATGGTATATCCATGTGAAAGTCCATGTAAACAAGTATGATTTTTGGATGTGCTTCTTAACAATTACTTAGCATGTTCTGCAATTATCTCGCTGGCGAAACTGTAAGTCATAATGTTGAATTAGACATGTTTCAATTCATGATTTAAGAGAGTTATTTCTTAAGAGATTTCCCTTCTAATAATATTTCTTGAAGCGTGTGCCTTTTTACCTCAATAAAACACAACAGGAGAAAGATATTTCATTTGTTTTCTTTTTCATTCCACATTTATATACCATGTTTCTTCAACATTTTTATGATTACTGATCAATGATTATATCTTAATATTTCAACAAAAAATTTATGTTTGCAAAAGGGGAAGAAGAAACACATTTCTATATGTTCATCGTTTTTTTCACATAGAATATTTTGTTGTGGACATGACTTAAGCGTTTGTTTGCCTATTTTGCTGGGTGATAATATTGTTGGCTGGTACAAAATTAAGACGAGATCGGTTAATTTTTTAGTTGGTAAGATTTTACAGGACATTTTACATTTGAAAAACATTGAATTATATTGCTGTAGATTTTAGTACGTGATTATGGTGCTGTAATTTTAGCACCATCCAAACATTTTGATTGTCTTGCAGGCGTTTTCTTGAAATTTTGAAGTTCGATTATAATATTTTTAAAGAAGTCATTTAGACGTTCGCATCAAAAAAATAATTTTTAGTTCATAATGAAATCACAAGAATTTGGTTCAATGATTAGAAAATGCCTCTTTTTTATCGCCAACTCCGAAATAATTCCACTGCTTCGATTTTTTCACTCTGTAAGCTATTGGATTTAATGAAAGGTGGACTCCCGTCGGACAGAATAATTTCCTAATATAATATTTAAGCAAATGTGAACGGACTCTCCTTAATAAAGGCCGTCCTCCAAACCCGATTTTGAATACTGTATAAGGCAGCGCTAAAATCAATGGGGCCTCCCGGGAACGTTTATGACCTGGCAGTTCTTGCACTCGACTCGTGCATGTCGCTGAGAAAGACGGTCCCTGGCGGCGATGAGGTGCAATTTCGAGAATGAAGCATTTTGCATGGCTGTAGAACAAGGTAGGATATTTGAAACTGCATGCGCAAGAGTTTAATGAATTCGTAAAAAAGTGCGTATTCTTGATGAAGAATAATAACTCTAAATTGTGCTGCGAAGATGTTTGAAACATGTTGGTCGAATTTAGTCATCGCGGTTCAAAAAACAAATAAGTTTTAAACTGGTAAACGTACTGGCCATAAAAACATTAATGTATTTATTATAGCAAATTATTATTATTATTATTATTATTATTATTATTATTATTATTATTATTATTAAATATTTTTCCTATTATACAAATTTATTTAGGGTGTAATTATTTTATATCACGTGTATTTCTATCAATCTCTTACAATTGTGACAATTTTATCGTTAAATGTTCAATCTATAATTGTACAAACTAACATAGATATCTACCTGTTATTGAGGCAACGTCCTACTCCCTGCAGGAGATTTGCCTGATGTTTATCATCAGTCGAAGTCGTACGTCGATTGCTCTGATCAGTGTTTTTCAGAGATTTCGATGATCGCTTCCAGGCGATTACCCGAGCAGCATCCTAGAAATTGGCGCACTTCCCTCTTCTCTTACCCTCCCCATCCTTATGGACGAGCGATCTCCTCCCTCATTTGATTCATCCCACTGATCGGGTAAAACTCGACTAGCATAAGAGATGACAATGGCTTGTAGCGGGCTATAGAACCAGAAAATAAACGAAAATAAGTATTTGTACAAAGTGGACATAAATTAATCTGGGGTGGTATTAACATTTTTTTTATTAAATTTTAGTTATACGTTGATTTTACTCGCAACTTCTTTTTCTTCTTAACTGATAGAAAATAACTATAGAAATTTCTGATATTTCAAATATGTTGAATGGAATATTAGATATTTTTATTACATATTAAACGTGAAGTGAAAAGAAGGAAGTTAAACAAAATAGTTAAATTGGAGTCTAATGAATTGGTTTTTATTTAGTAGTATTTGAATTTAGTTATGTAACTTTGTTTTACTAATAATTCCCACACTTTCTTTCTGACGCTGTTGATAATTATGAAGGAATAAATATTTGTAGCACTCGTCTTTTTTGTTCTGACCCTATTTTTTCGTAAGATTGTAACTGCACCATGTGACTGCAACAAACTACGGTCTCGGTTGATGGAACATCGCCGAAAATACGAAAACCGCATTCAAATGTCGACATGAATTTAGAAAATATTTCATCAGGCTAAAATTATGCAGAATTAAGGCTAATTGAAAAAAATGTGGAATAAATGTACGAACTGGAATCACTACATAAATAAAATGCCAGATGGGAGGTCCGCAAAATATTTTTCTCTTATTTTATAAGATCTTTAGAGTTGGAAGGCCAGAAAACACAAATGCAGTTTATGTGCGAATGCTCAAATCAAGTTTGTGAAGCCGAAAAAAACAAAAGTTTAATGCCTTTTATGACGAAAAATGTGTTTTGAATGATTTGACACCTTATTACAATATTTGTAATCAAATAATGAGTGCGAGTAATTTTGAATTTATTATTGATACTGTAATGGTCCAGCGTAATCATGAAATAGTGGAGAGAGAAATCCATACAGTTGGTAATCATATTAGTTGAAACTACCATCAAGGTATAACAACCTGATATTGGTCATGAAGTTTGGTATTGTTTTTGGTGTGTAATATAAGTTGCTAGTGAGACAACGTTAAGAACTAAAGAATGTTGCACAAATTACTTTTATTTCGAGAGAAATGGATTTGGTCGAACGGTAATATCTAGGCCGGATCTCTCCCCCAGCGATTTCCAACCTCTTTACATTTCAAGAAATTCCTATCAGTGTTACGTGTATTAGTGACGCAGGTGGCTGTCAAACCGTAGTGCGTAGCCCAGATACCTGTTGCCTAGCCCTAAGACACAGAGATACAAGAGTTGATCCTTCGGTACTCCAAATGTTTTAATTCTAGTAGTGATTATGTGAAAAACAGTACACAATGTGCTGTATCTGCTGCAATAAAGTTTTTTCAATCAAGTTATATTGCTTTTTATGAAAACAAAGGGAAATACATTTTTTGGATACGCCTTGAATGTAAAAAAGAGTTAAAAAGACTAAAGAAGTATCGAATATATTCCAGTGGGAACTTTTAATATCCTTTTATAGCCTAATAAATGTGAGACATATTCTCTAATCGGCATTTGTAAGTCAATTACCAAATAATTTATTTAAAGACAAATCATTAGTTTAAGAAAGAAAATTATCATGGTCATTTGTTCTAAAAATGATGTGGAATTTGAGTTTGAAACTTTCCAGTTGACACGTAAATATTATAACGTTCATAATCTTTTTCACTGCATAAATAAGTATGTAATGGGAAACTAATTACCGCGTCTTGCCGCTCTGAAGACAAATTTAACATTCTTCCAGGAAGAAAATTATTAAAATCTTAAATAAGAGCGGAATTATTTCCAAAGTGGAAGTTAGCTCGTGATTCTAATACGGCTATGCTGTCGAGTCAATTATGTATTCGTGCAATTGATTTAAATGTGAGGATCATTTTAATGTGTGATATAATCGAAGACCTCAAATACGTGTATGGTCCCGTGCTCGAGATTAAATCTTGTTATTTACAACAATACCCTTTGCTAATACGATTATATTTCTCGGATGAACCGTTCGACTTTTTTGAACGGCACAAATATTTCATCGTGGTTTGCCGCAATTGTGTGTTAAATTTTTATATCTATAACGATTAAGACATGAAACGCTTGATAAAAATGGAATTAAGTTGATATCCTGGACTGAAAAGGGCAACGCATTATGTTTAAAATCATGGTGAAAGTTGCTGATAAGATCTGTCCTTTTGAGGTTAGAAATTTGTATGTATGGACTTGATAGTTTTGACGGTTTCATTGCTTAGGGACTATATAGTCTCTTTTGTATGTATGTAGAGCATAATTCTTAGTACTTAACACAATAAGAATCTACCTAATTTCCTATATTTTTGGTTTTAATAATTTTTCTTCGGAAGCCCACATTATGCAGATATTGTAGTTGCTTTTTTTTCTTAATTTCACTGATTCTAAACATCATGACTAAGTCCGATTATTTCCATAAATTGCCCAATCGGATATAACTCAGCCTGTTTTTACAACAGTTTTGCTGAGTGTGGTTATTTCCATTAAATATTTCGGTACGCAAAAACATTATTTATGATTGCGGAATCTTTCAAGAACTATATTGTTATTAAGGTAGACCGAGAAACACAAATCATACTTATGGTACGTTATTTCATTTGAAAATGATAATCTACTCGTAGAAATAGGTTTATTAGGTCTCTGAAAGAAATCATTATTCAATCACGCACGTGACGCGTGGGAAGATAGCGACGATGTCGCTCCGTGAGTGGCTCAATGTAAGCTAATTTATTTCCACGTGCGGCATCAGGAGGGGGTGCTCGTCAGCGTGTCTGTCAGTTCGAGACAGAGTAGTCACATTTGACAGTTCGCTCTGAAACAGTTGGTAATATAATCATGGAACTGACCTGTTTTATCAAAAACTCGAAAATTAAATATATCGTTACCAAATTCGCCACTATTCAGCCCATCCCCAACGCTTCTACCCCTTCTACGCGGGCATGCAGCTAGAAGAAACGCGCCCACTGTAATAGGGGGCTATTACGATTGCATGATTACAGCGTAAGAACCCTACTTGATCCAACATAAGTTTACTGCGTTAAGATTGTAAAGCGTAAATAAATGTTACTTGTAAATGCAATGAGGACTATGGACATTCTAAAACACGCAGTCGTTTCATGTAACCTATTTCACCTGTTTTTCTGATAACCCATTTTCTATCTACCGACATAAACCCTCGAGATGTATGAGAGGAGTAAGTTTTTATAACAAAAAATATTTCGTATAATATGATATTTTGATGATTTCGCACGAAACGTTTTGCAAGTGTGGATCTTAATTATGCTAAGAGACATGTCTGCTTCGACATAATGCTTGCTTTTTAGAGATAGAGCGAACAGTCTTAGGAATGTTGAAAAAAGTTCGGAGAGATGTTTGGAAGACAACGAAAACTGAAGGAAGCAGGTCGGAACATAGTCGGGAAAGATTAGAAATCCCAGAATTTGCTAATAATAAATTTAAAAAAATATCGAGAAATGGCTTACAGCGACGTTATGAAGCTACAAAGAGAAACCCTAGAACTAACATCTAAACAGAGGGACCTAGGAGTACGAGCAAAACAGTAAGAGATAGCAATGATTCTGGTTCCAGCAAACTTTTTTGAAATTGTATTTTTTGTTTCCATGACCTTTCTGTGCTTTAACCATACCCTTGCCTACTATGTGAACTCGAACTTCGTCATAAGAGACATGGGTAAATATACTTATTTTCTCTTGTATTCGGGAACTTCGAAACGTGGGAAGTGGCAATTTAAGTTCATTATATTATAAATCTTCACGTGAAGTTATCTTACATAATTACCGTTCTTGGATTGTCCTATGGTGACAATATCTTTTGACACTGACTTTAACTTTCTTTTCGGAGCCATCACAACATTGATTTAAAAAATCTATATTGAGACTTCGCTTTCTAGGCAAATGGAGCACTGATCGATATCAATATAACCAAGACGATGAAGAGTCCAATGAAAGTGTGGGGATAAACCTTAACGCATTTTATGTCTTTATTGTAAAAAACTGCTCATCTCCTCACGAAGTTACTTTGTGACGGAAACTGCGTACCCTTTGCCGCCTTGCACAAGACGATACATTAAAGTAAATGCATTTTTTCTGTTTCCACAGACGTGAAGGGTTATTTCTTGGAAGGTATTTTACCAAACGAAAATTCGATTACTTACTCTTATTCTTTAAAGAACTCTCTAAAACTTGATAAAAGCAAATCTCTTCCGTGTGGGAAGACGATTATTGTAATTTGCATGTGGATTTCAGAACAGCCAATATTCTCTTAAAAAGCGGCTCTTGAATCTGTGAGTTCTCTCATATCGCGACTCTACTATACTATTCATATCATTATGATGTTTTGACAATGTTTCATGACAATGGATACTCGTATAACTTTTTCCGCGTCGTTCGTAGTGCATTTTCATAACTGCGGTCATTTTGTTCTACGAATGGCTGATCACATTGTGGGTTACAACAAAAGAATGAACGATGTTCGTAGCTTGCCTAAAACTTCGGTATTTTGGATTCCACAACGCGGCAAACGCGTTTTTTGTTAATTGTCTGTAATTGTTGGAATTATACACTCGGTTCCCGTAGAGTTTCACATATTACAAGTATTAATGTTTTGTGTTTATTATTTGTTCTGTCGATATATTGTGTTGGTATGTGTGTGTTTTAATATGCGAATGGCGTACATGTTTGCATATGCTCTATCATATATCGTTTTTGTTTGTCAGTTATGAATTATTAATTGATTTATTCTGCTGATAGCTTGTTAATAGCTCTAATTTTAATGACGGTGCGGCGCCCAGCGTCGGGCGCTCTTTATGGCAGCAGGCGCGCGGTCGGATCGGATTTGCGCATCGCGATGCTGCGATGTTTCCCGGCAACCCTCGCGCGCTCAGTTCAGCGCGTCAACTGAACAGTTCTGTCGTTATTTTGAAGTTTTGTTCGCTCCGCGAGAATGGTAGCAGTAAGAGCAAACAAAATCGTGGCATGTGTGGACAACTGAGTGGTGGAAAAAAAAATCCACGTACGAGAGTTGATGCGAGGGAGTAGTGCAGTCGAATTTAAAAGCTAAGAAAAATGGCGCGCTGTGGTATTGTGATGTCCTGTTTACACAATAAAGTGACTGGCGTTTACCGTAGACAGTTTGAATGCCATAAAATATATATTGCATATTTTCTCTATTGGTGATGATGTTGAAGCATTGACATTCGCATTTGAATCTAAAATTGTGTTATTTATGCTTTTTTGAAGTTTTGCTCTTTATTTTAATAAATCCAAATAGCGCAACTACATATTTGCTTTTCACTGTTAATTAAATCTCATTAATCATCATTCTCTGATCATCTTTCAAATAGAACAATATTATTATAAACCGGACTTAAATTCACCCCATTCATATTCGTAAAATATTGTTTCTCAAATTATGCAAAGGCTTTGGTCACATTTCCTCCACATCTGCGTGATTTAATTTTTCTAACTAAACTATAATTTGTAATGAATATACTTTAGATATTCTTATTGACATCTCCTAATGCCACGTTCCTTCCTGGTCCCCACTTTCTGGAAATATGGTTTAGTTTTTAAACTCATAATACACGTGTGCATTTCTCTAACTCAACCAAATTTAAATATATGGAGGACAGGTCTCCGCAAGCACGCGTAATCCAATTTTCAGGCGCGCGTAATAATGAATGTATCACTTGATTGATTAGTGATTACCGGCGCGCAACTGCTAAGGTTATTAGTCTCATAAATATAGGGGATGTTTTTTCTTTGGAAGATGGAAGTGATATTGTTATGCTGGATGGCGAGATCCGGCGCCGACCTATCGTCAGCTAGCGGAGTTTCCCTAACCAGGTATCTCTCACCAGCGGGACACCACCCCAGCCGGAACAAGCTCTAAGCTCCCGACTGGACCCCTCGCATTGTAGTGCACGTGCACGTGAACGTGTGTGTAAGTGCTGTCTGAAGGAGATTTCAAGTGGACGGATGTTCAGATCGGTGTTTTTCTGTTTTTTTCCGGTCAGTACCAGGCGGATGCCGGAGAAGTACCCTAAGGGGGTGAGAATAAGACAAGGAACAGGAAAGAAAGATTGCAGCGGTACATAGGTTGTTTGTTGGGATATTTCGGCATTCGCCTGGCACTGGCCAGAAAAAACACCAATTTGAATATCTGACCGCTAGAATTCTCCTCCAGACAGCGACAACTCGACGTAGCTATCTAGCTATCTAATACATCACGTGATTAACGGATTAAAAGTACTTGAAGAAACCTCAATGTTACACAGTTTTTAGATGATCGTTTGCATTTCTTTAATTTGAACTGTTATATTGTATTTCGCATTAGCATACATAAAAATATTGTCATAACTATATTTTAATATGCACCTACTTTTTAACCTTAAACTTTCTCGATCATATGCATTTCCTACCACTCCTGAATGAATTTTTTTGCCAAAAGTTGTCACATTTTTTGAGAGTGAGATATTTTAAAGTGACTCAGTGAGTTAAGCCTTAATTATGTGCTCTCTCTCACTCTCTCTCTCTCTCTCTTTATATATATTACTGTACACATCACTAAACTTTTCTTTGAACCAAAAAATAATAATTTGATGAATTTTGTTTGGTTTGTTGGTGCAATCTAAGATAACATAACAGGTTAAATAAATATGACAATACTATTGATGACTACATTCTTACGGGTTAGGAATGTCTAAGATGTCATTCGAAAAAACCCTTGATTTACAATCTTAGACGCAGGGTGTTAAAAGTGAGGTCACGGCTGTGACGTGATTAGAACACATGTCACGTAACCTAAGATACTGAATTCAAACTTTCGCACATGTTCTTTCAGGGTGACTGGGTCTACATAAATTTCTTTCCAACTGAGTAAAAATGCGTTTAAATCATTGCTTGCTACGCTGTCGTCTCACTTCTGTAAATGTCAGTAAGCTCTTCTGCTGACCAATTGCACTAGTACAGAAAGCCTTGAAAGTAGGGTGGTGAATGCCGAAAAGGTAAAATAGAGGAGGCTCAATCTCCAAACAAGTGTACGTACATATCACGAAAGTAGAACGTTGATGAACAGGAAGTGTGGCACTGATTCTCAGAGCTTACTGATGTAAGTAGAAATTTCTTCTATGAATGCTTCCGTAATTACGTGTTTTCGTAAATAAAGAGGAAACTATAAAAATTATGACGTAAACAATAATAATGACAATAATAATAACTAAAATAATAGGATTAACATAAAATGTATTACATATTTAATTTAATGGAAAAAATGAAGGATGTTGGTTCATGAAGTTACGCCGAATTCGGATATAAGTAAGCTCAAGTTACAAGTGAGTTTGAAAAAGAAAGGTGATCGAGGCAAATGCATGCTGAAAACTGTTTTTGTTTAAGATTTATTTTCAAAAAATACGGTAAACATTGCAACTTATGACAGGTGTAAATTAAATTTTTGATGTGATACAAGACTTAATGTATTCATGTTTGTTATTTAACAAACTCTTTTATGCAGGTTTTATTGCGTTTGGTTGACCGGAACGAATTAAAAGTAATGATTTCTCTCTGTTGATTAATTTCATTACGAGTATTTGCCATTTTTGATGATGGATTATTTTCTCTCTCAATGTATGCTTCAAAAAAGAGGATATATTATTTTTGCTTCCATATGCAAATTGTCGCAAACAGTTTAACGAAACATTAATTATCTAGAAAAAAAATAGCTGTGTGTGTAGTGGTTTGTGATTCTGAATTTTAGTGTTCTGTTGAAGCTAAATGTAACAATATATGGCATCTATTAATAAATCAGATTGGTTTCCTTATCCATTGATAGTACTCGTACTTATATACCACAGAAGATTCTTTCATCCTTATACTTTAGAACGGGCACATAATTATTTAACTGATAAAACACTCATTGTTATTTCTTGAATTTAATAATTCATTTGCGTCTCTACGACAATTGTGTTATAATTTTCTGCTTGTATTTTCACTCTCTCTTCTTTTGCCATCCTCATCTCTTTCCCTCAATCCAATAATTCACTCTTTTAATCAAAGTGGATCGAACGTCACATGTTTCAACCAACGTACACAGTCTCTCGAAACATTTGTAATGTAAATCATAGCTAATTCATAAGATACCAAAACTTACGATATCTAGGAACCTCAACTTCCGTGAAACTGAGTGAAAAGTAGTAATGTTATAACAGCACTTAATTACGAGCTTTATTTGTAACTGCTCCATCATATTATACCTACGTGAACATGCAAATGTTTTATTCAACCAGGAAACCTTTCTCTGTGCCGAGAAAGAACGACACGAACTCAGATCCATGGAGTTAACTCGCCATGCGCTTTATCGCTAAACCAAGCAATCGCCCGGCCATATCTTTTGTTGACGCTGAAAAAACGCATGGTCTCTCTCATTATTTATATTATGTAATTTTCAAAAAATCAGAGTTCAACGAAAATTAGACCTGCATAATATATTAAGAGTTCTTTGATCTATTTGTAAAAAAATGAATAAAAAATTTAATGCTGTTTACAGAAAATAAATTTTTTTAAATAAATTACACTAACTTCAAGCACTTATTTCGCGAAAAGTACTGTTTTACAAAAACGTTTCCGTGATCATTTTTAAATATCTAATTTTTTTGACCAGATATCATTGAAGACAAAAATCTATACCTTCAATATTGTAATTTTGCAAATGTTTTTTTTTCTTTTTTCGAAATTAAAGAGAATTTACCGAAAATGGAACCAGCGCTAATTGTTTTACTGTCTTTTGATACATACGGACAGAATTGTAAAAAATGTGGAGCAGTTTTTAAAAAAAAGTTTTTTAATAAATTGTAATAATTTTTAACAGAACGTTTGCAAAATCTACTCAAAAATTGTGTTTTCAAAAATTGTACTCGATTTTTTTTAAACAATAGATCAATTTCATTTAAGACAAATGTATATATATATATATATATATATATATATTGTAATTTTGCAATGTTCATTTGCTCTCTGGTATAGGTACGTTTACACGGAATAATACATGTAGTACAGAGAAAGTTATGTAATGCTGCTCAAATCGATTTCGATGTTTTAATGGAAATACACGTGTTATGTTCCCCCGGCACATAAAACGTTCTTTTTAAACATCCATTCGTCTGACCGTCATTCTGTCCGTACATCTGTGAACAACACTAACGTCTATTCATAGGAATTTTTGCCAAAATGTATACTTATTCCCCAGTCGATCTGTTCCGAATCAAAGTCCTGTGATTTAGAAAAGAATTCGATAAGTTTTGAAGTTACGTGATCATTTACAAACTTTTCTCAAAAATTATTTCAAATCATTATATTTTTGTTAGAATAGAGTGAAACGCACTTATAAAGTGGCCTATTTTCACTAGTAACTCTAAATTTTCGAAAATTGCAAAAATATTGGCCAATTTTCGACGTTTTTGTACAATTATAATATTGAAGGTAGAGATTTTTTCATCTAATAGAACTTGTCCTTTGCAATTAGTTCTTTTATTAATGTCATGGGCACTTTTGTTAGTAGTAAGTAGTAAACATATTTGTAGAAACTGTTAGTAGAAATGCAGTACTAAGACGAAAAAAACATGTTACTCTATACCTCTAGCAGAAACTTGTAATTTTAGAAAATTTAATGTGAGGTTTTTTTCAGAAAGCCATTTCTAGTAAGTACAATGTTGGGCGAGAAACTCTTAGGACATCAAAATGAAAGACGATGTTATTCGACAGTGCGCATCCCAAATAGAGAGCGAGTTGGAGAAAAGAAAGGTTATGCGAAAGAGTGTCAGAAAAGAACTAGATAAAGCTGGTTATGGCTGGCTCATGCAACAACGCAGTGAAGTTATTGGCCCGATAGTAAAGAAAACAATAGGTGCTAAACAGCATATACTTTCTCGAATTATTGGGAACGGATGCGTAATATTATAATATTGCAATATCTTCTCTCACGTCAAATATCACTTGAAAAAGTCCAAACAAGTTCAAACGAAGCGCCTGCCGTGCATATCTGCAATTTGTTACGTACAAGCGAGCGAACCTCGTGGCAGCTATTTGGGGACGCATGATAAGAGATTAGCAATAGGAAACCGCCTCGCCACAGGAGGGAGAGAAGGGTTTTTCCTAAAAGCAAGCACGTGGCAAAGGGAGACACGAGGCTCTGAGGTCCTCCGGTCTTAGGGAACGGAGATCCA